ATCTTTTCGTCGCACGTAAATCAATATTGTTAAAATTGATGATACACGTGCCTTGAATATAACATCCGTTTTACATTGTCGCTAATGTCTTTCAATCACAGGCTTCAAATTACTAATCTTAGTTTAAAAAGTCTCTTATCAGTAATATCCGCATGCAATACATCTTATTAATAAAATTAAGTATTAATAATTGCTATTTCCAAATATGGTAGAATTTGAATGCTTTTTTTACTTGAAAGATGAAAAGGGGATTGACAATAATAAATGTCGATAATAATGCTTAGAAGTGATACAGTGCTGCTTCCAAGCATAACTGCAAAAGCTATTATCGAATAAAGTCGTAGCCAATGGAAAGTGCCAACACGAAGCAAACGAATCACATTTACATATGCATATAAATGGTTATATACATAAATATACATAGGCATTACCGAGTGTTCCACGGAAAATTACTGCATGGCAATTTACAAAAAAGCCACATTCACGAAACAAAAGTATCGAGGATCGGCATTTCTTCGATTAGTTCTACAGTTCTCATTTTCAATAAATTTATAGATTCTAATGATTACGATTACGATTCTCTCTCCCACTCTATCTCTCTACGCATTTTCAAATTACGATAAATAATATAATTACTGTTTGAGAGAGAAAATCAACGGTTTAACCATCCAAAAATCTTGTATAATTTTATATAGACGCTTTCCTTTATAAGATATTGATAAAAAAAACCTTTTTAATGCATAGAATAATTCCAGAAATACAATCCTCAATTTTTCTATCCTTAATTGCAAATATATTATAAAACAATTCCATAATTATGCTATAAATCTTTAAATATAGTATATTAATACATAAAACATGTTCGTTATATATTCGTTTTTTTTCTAAAATTTCTTTTGACCTTCGGCAATGCTTATTTATCATTACAAACATATAATTAATTAATATATAATTGTTAAAATAACTAGGTAAGTAATGCAGTAAAAATTCAATTAATATTACTGAATTATTTTTATATATTAAAAAGTTCAAAGAAGTCAAACACGTTTACAAAAACTTGTTAAATTGTAAAAGTATTTTCATTATTGTAGACAAACGATGCTTTCTATTATTTGTTAAATAAACAATTATCTCATCTTATTGTTTAAAGATAAAAGCAATATTTTTGTACATTCATATATTCATAAGATATATTTATAAAATATTATAATCATGAATTAATAAAGAAAACATGCATAATTAATTAAATTTTTCCATTTCTACTAACGTTTTATAAACGTACGTTACTAAAAATGACCAATTATTATTATTTAATTGCCACAGATATATTTGGGTTCTTGTTTTAAACCAGACTGTTTTTAATGCATAAATAAATAAAATGAATAAATGAAATTGTCTTTATATACCATATAGTGTCGCTCGTCATATTTAATAAATATTTGATTTTAAATTCTATTTTATAATAATTACTGTCTTATAAAGTGATAATAAACGTTCCACTTAATGCGGGTCAGCCAGTATTAATTTTCAAATGTTTTTCATAATGATATTACAGTCCAAAACATATTAATAACGTAACACCATAGATTAATAATATCTTATACGATTTAATTATGAATTATTTAACTTTATTAAGACTTAATTGATACAAATTAAATTATTAATTTTAATTAATTATGGGTAGTTAGAAATAGAAGTATTTGATTAAAAAAAATTCATTTATTTTTCTAAATAAATTTTATAATATCATAAAAGAATATGACAATTTAATACTCGTATGCTAATTAATAATTAATAATTTAATATATTTATACATTAAATGAATAACCAATTCGTTTAAGTAGCCAGTAACCAACTTTTTTTTTTTTTTTTTTTTTTATTTCAAAAGCATTTTTCCCCCAATAAATAAAAAATTAATAATTGCATAAAAATCTAACGCATATTGGTACAGACATTTGCGAACATTGAAAAATGTACAGTGAAGAAATTTATCCACAAATTAATGGAAATATTATGAGCTGGAGATTTATTAAATTCAAAATATTAAAAAAATTATACATATTTATTGCAAAATTGTTAAAGCCAAAGTTCAATTCTTTGAAGAATAATATTTTACGTACAATAATTTGCAGCGAGAATTTTATTTGAAATTAATATACGTTAATATAAATGAATTTTTACTAATTAAACGATATTAAAAATATTAAAGATTTGTCAATTTGATTGAATTTATAATAACTTTAAAGATACCCATTTTATTAGAATGAATTTAAACGAGCTCCTAACTTATCATGTTTTTTAATAAATTACTCAAAATCTACTAACAACAATATGTTTATTGCATACTTTAGTTTGTGTAAAACTTCTATACATTAACTATATGTTTCACAGTATGCACTGATGCCTTAATCAACACAACCACCCACAACATTAAATTATGATATATTGGCAAGTTAACTTCTACTTGTACTTTTTATCTTCGTTAGTTTTTATTCTCACTCTTCTTTGTTATATGCTTAAAGAAAAAAAATTCATTCTATACATTCTTCATTTTATATTTTATCATTCAAATTCATTTTACACATTTTGTATTCATTATTCAGTTGACATTTGGAAATCGTCGAAAGTTGCCGGCTCTATAGCATTAATAAGGCAATCTTCCTTTTCATTTTTAATATTAAATATACTCGCTGCTCGTTATAAAACAATATCGTAGAACTGTAAATCTTAGTTGAAATGGCTCGTATTGTTAATAATAAAGAAATATCTTACAATTACAAGCTCTCAGAATTGATCATCATAGATCTACGAGCATTTGCTGAAGCTTTAATTTTAAAGTTTGACGATATCGTAGCAATATTGAACATTTTGACTCGATTGAATATTTATTTTCTAAAATATTAGATGTAACGATGAGCAGAAATATTTATATATGAAATTTAACAATTGCAATGATTACAGAGGTGAAATAGAAATTAATTTTAACATAGACAGAGACATATTGTTATAGAATGAAGTAGTATTATAAGATGAAAGAGGCAAAAAATTAAACATACATAAGAAAAGCATCGAGTGTTAAAATTAAATTAAATATCGTAGGAAAAAGAAAATATGCAATAAAAAACGAATATTGAAAATTAAAAAAACTTTGTATTTGCCTGGAGTCTCGAATCTTTACAAAGGCGGCAAAACTTGCAGTATGTTCGTTAAAATAAAATCAGAGAATATAATCAGTGAAAAGTGACGAAATTAAATTATATAAAATATACGCTATAAGTTGCAAACGTAAGTAGCTCGAAATTAATATCAAGTTATGCTTATTAATTGGAAAAGCGATAATGGAGAAATTACAAATATATTTCTCTGGATTGGCTTATCGTACACAGCTGTCACCTACTTGATGCTTAAAAATCTTTTTGTTAATATTTTTTTTCTCGTCTTTTATTTAGAAATATAATTTTTTGCTTGCGTGCGTTAAAAAAGAAAATTAATTTTTGTAAATTTATCTTCGAAAAGATCATTTTGCCCTAGTAAAATTATTTTTCCCCTTGCTAGTAAAAAATTGTGTCCTATGCTTTGTAATTTTTTTTTCTTCAATGTATTCAAATTCCCAACAAAAAAAAAGTTATAAGGCAATATTTACATTAGAGAAATTTTATAAAAATGAAGTTGAAGTTGAAAAAATAAAAGTCAATTTTAAAAGCATTAAAAACAAAAAGATACGCACACGCCCATTAAAGAAATAAGTAAAATTATTAATAATCAGCGTTGGAAGATAAAAATAATAACAAAACCCTGAGTTAAAAGCAAAGTGAATATAAGAAAATTGTAACGAAAAGGTTTCTTGCAACATTGGTAAAACAAGTAAAACTAGTACTCGCAATATATTAATTGCACATGAAACAATGATTTATCAACTCTAAAGTAAACTAAACTAACGGGACATTGAATAGATAATTCATAGTCGTATAACAAGGATCCACTAGTATATTAAATAATTTATGACAAAAATGGAATTATAATAAAGTAGTCAATTTTTTTTTAATTTTATTATTTTCATTGTAAAATATGAGAGAAACAAGGCATATTCGTCGAGGTACTTAATTGTATTCTTAATGGGAACATCGATGAGTAAAATTAGCGATTCCTGATAGGATAATACAATTTACAAAACCAATGTAACTGAAGATTAAAAAAAATCTAGAGTACGTTAAAGTAGCTAATCGAAAGTTTGAAAGAAAATAAAGGCTTAAATATAAATAAAGATAGGAATAGAGCGATAAAATTTTGAATAGAAAATGTCTTACGGATTATGTTTTAATTCACAAGTCAAATGTCGAATCGCCGAAAAACCGATAAAAAATAATACATTAAAAAAAGAATGTCGATAAAAAGAAGAAATTTATTAAGCAATATCGTTGTAGTTTAATAAATTTTATAATTTTATATTTATTTCAATGAAAAAGCAAAGAAAAATATGTATATTTTTGGTAATGCGTTATCATGTATACTTTAGTAATTTAATATCCGTACAAATTTATATGTGAAATTCATGAAACTTGTTCTTAATTATAATTTTTGGTGTAAATATTCATTGATAATTGTATTACACGTGATTCTAAATTGTCTCATTTATTTCAATATAATAATAAGGGAAACGAAATCGTCTGTAAGTACAATTTGAAGTTGATTTGAAATGAAATATTATTTACCAGACAATTAGTAATCTTATCAAATACATATTAAAATAATTATAAAAATTATAATTTCTCTTTATAATATATGCATATACTAGTTTAAAATATATTTTAAAAAATTGTATTACGAAAAACATTGTCTATCAAATTATTTTCATAAAGATTCGTTTAAATTAAGAGATTGTGATTAAAAAATCACAATACACAAGCATAGTAACTAGGAATTTGCCTTGAGTAAATTATATTTGATATTGATCATTTCAGCAAAATATTACGTGATCTTTGGTGAAATCATGCTCATTATTTATAGTTTATGTATTGTATATTTATTTTCTAATAATATGGAGAAAAAAGAAATCAGTACTGATAAATGTTAGTAAATGGTGATTCGAGTGTTTGATATGAAACTGATGATGCGAGCTTGATTTCTAACCTACGATTTGTAGTTTAGGGAGCACATTTTTTTAAGCATACAACATTTCATATGTTAGTCAACAAAAAAATACGGACGCTTGTTTCAATCGATAAATTATTGATTCTTTTTTTACACACGAACATTGCAATAACTGTACATTAAACACTTCCATTTCATTTAGAAATGTTCTTTTTTTTTTTCATCGCGCAATATTGAAGAGATTAAACTAATTTCTTTGCTTCAAAAAAGCTTTTAAGGTGTCGCATTTGCCAAGCACCCATAATGACTAAAATTACAGTTTGCGTAACTGACCACCATAGTACTCTTCGGTTTGTGCTTTCCGATGTTTGTCTAAATCTCTCTTCACGATACTAAAAGAAACAAAATTATAATATTAATCCACTGAAATATTAATGCCGTATAAGAGTAATTTATAATAAATGGGCAAAGTTTACTCTTTGATAGCTTTGTTCTTTTGTAATTTGAACAACTTGATCCAAAAGCTGCTTTAGTCTTAACTGGAGTTGTGATAATTTTTCTTTTTGAGCAACATTAGCATAATCGATTGTATGCTCGCCAACTTGAATATCCAGGTGTACCCTCTGAAAATATATTAATATAATTATTCAATATAATGTGCATACTTCCTTCCTATGCGACTGGTTACATTAATTAAAATTTAATTTCTATGTACAAATCAATGCTGTTTAGCTAATTAGCAAACGATATTAGAAATTTACATTCAATTATGAAAAATGAAAAGTGTTTTTAATGTAACTACATCGAGTATGTTGTAAATAATATTAAAGTATTGTCGTTACGATGCATTAGGATATTATTATCAATTAGATAGTCTAGACCAAAACTTTAAAAATAATGATTTACAATAAAAGGTGCTGGGACTAATGTGAAAAGCATTGCATAATAAATGTATATAAGCAAACGAGTTTGGGAAGAATAGTATTTTCCAAAAACATTTGGCCACAGACATATTTACGATTTGGAAAAAAACGACTTAATCGAATAAAGGACTATATAGGTAATGAATGACGCAAAATTTTTTTTATTACATATATGAATACTTTTACGATATATGCACTCTTGTTTGTATATAATTCTTTGCATGCCCGTGCGTGTGTGCGTGTACGAATTGATGAATTAATTTCAAAGCATATTGTAGGCTTGTATTGTAAAGCTTAATTATACAGATGAATCGGCATTAAATGTTCTTTTTACCCTCTAATCAATAAAAGTACAAAATTTCCAATTAAATTATCCTTAATACATATTTAATTTAAATTTCATCCAATATAATATTATATTATCAGAGTGTAATTAGAATTTTAGCTAAATGTAAAAAAACAAACTCATCTTTAATTAAAACTATTGAAATCTTCTTCTTATTTATAAATTTGACTATCAAATGCAATATAAAGATTATCTTTCCAATACATTCCACATCGTTCCGATTAACTAAGTACATACCATCTGACCACCGCTGAACCAAGCGGTACTATTAGAATAGAGACATATTACATGCTCTCCAGGAGTGTGCGACGTAAACGATATTCTTCCCTCCGAACTATATACTCGAGACAGAACAATTTTATCATCGGCATCTTTCACCTCAACGTGCATACCTATCCCTGGGCTACTCCGCATAAACCCCTGACTTCTAGGATCGTACAGCTCCACCTTGTAGTTCACTATTTAAGTAATAAGGATAGAAAATACTTTGTCATTAAAATGTAAAATTCGAGTTGGGCCATGTAAGATTTGAATAGCAATTTTACCTAAAACTGTAGTCTCATCTGGAATCTCTTCCATAAAACATTTTCGTTCGGTTTCGCCAATGTGAAAGTAAAGTCCCGATGTGCACTCAAATATGACACTAAGTGTCACTAAATACTGCAGTGTTTTCAGCATTTTACAATCTTTATTGAAACGATAGCTTACGTAACAAGTGATATATAATTAATGTACAAATAACAACAAATTAACTCTTGGATTGACCGTTCGATGCGGCAAAACACATGCGAAGGCACACCAAACACGTCATCTGTTTAGACGGGCGAAATTACTGAACGCCGATGTCATCGAAACATGATTCCAGATGGCGACACTAAACTCGATTTCAGCTCCCGATGAAACTTTCCGCGACTCGGGATGAAATTTAAATTGCCAACGAGCTGTTTCACCGGGCAGCTTAAACAGCCGACGAAAAGTACAAACGTTAATAAGAATAAATCGTGAGAAATCGTGAAGTAAATAGTGATTGCGACTGACCTAATGTTTATATTACAATTCTTTCTGACATCACTTCCGTCTTTTAAACGAAGCCTGGCGGCCTCAGCTCAGGTTTATGGTAAAATTTTTCTTGCTCGATAGATGTCCCTAGCAGCGCAGTTTTCACTGTACCAAACACAGAGGGCAGCAGTTGGGCTAGAAAATTATTTCTAAACACGTAATCATTGGCAAAGAGAATTAAAAATGGATGTTGTCGTATTGAGCTGCATTGCATTATTACTTGTCGTTCTTATTATTTTAATAACCTTCTACTCGAAAGGAAGCGCTAGTAAGTATTTGCAAGTACGTACCGCGGATACCTTTAGTTGTTATTTTTTTTTTAGATTCGCCCTTCCGAGTTTGTTTTATTTGGGAATTAATCCGATGAGCTAGAAACGTATAACCTAAAAGCTGCAACCATAATCAGCAGATGTTAGAATTTAGTTTTTGTTATTTCAAAGTGATAGAACGTAGCAACTTAATGATCATTGGCTTCTTATTTTTACTGATAATTCAGATTTTAAGCATTATGTTTGTTCGAGCGTTCCAATAACATGAATTTCATGGATTATTATCTATCTCTACTATCTTGGATATGCGACGGTTGACTATGGTTACATAATAAATAAATCATTATAGAAAGATTGAACGTAATTGTAATCATTATAACATATCATATCTAATTGATATCTAATTAAAGTAGAATGGTCATATTTGACAAAGTACCAGCTTTAAATTCTTTTACGATTACTTTTACACTTTATTAATAAGGTGAAAAATAAGGAGATTTTATATTCCAGTTTCTTGATTTCGACTGTAATAGTGTTGACTCGTTGACAAAATGTATTATTAAAACATTGTACATTGATCGAACGAATTGGACAAGTAGGTGTTAGAAGAATGCATTTGTAATTATGAAGGAGAGTTTCCTAAAATAAAAGTCCATCCTTTCTTATAAATCATGATATAGAATGGCTGTAAAATAAATTTTTTTCATTTAGTTTATGCATAAAATTTGAGTGACAATTTGAGAAAAAGCATACTATTGTTAGAACATATATAGAGATTTTTAATTGTCCAAGCTTCTAAAAGAATGTGAAAATAATTTTTCTATAATTAACAAAAAATCTTTCGTGATAATTCGCATGACCGCAACAATGATCGCAATAGCATCAACGAGTGATCAAAGTCTCCTACCTTTCACTCGACTACCTTTCAAGTCATACGATTGCATCATTAAAAGCTACAATCTTGTCATTGTATACAATACAAGTCCAGCCATTATCCTTATCCGACATTAGCATTAAAGAATCTCACGTCGTAAAATTTTCTTATATTAATTCGCCCGACTAATACTATTTAACAGGGAAGAATGAGGCACATGACGCAGCCGGCCCAGAAGCAAGTGGACAACGAGCCTTCGCCCACGTGACCGCGCGAGGAGTTCGCCAGCGACGACATCAAGTGGCCAACGTTGAGGACCACTACAAAGATGAGATTGCGAATGACGAGTCCGCCTCCTTGAAAAAATTGGGAGCCAAGAAGCGCGCCAAATTGGAAGCCAAGGCCGAGCGTAAAACTCAGCGTGAAATTGGTAGGGTTTGCATGTTATGTGCGAGCCGTTTATCCGATACGTCGTCTTCCTGTGTAAAATGCCTCGAATAATCAGAGGGAACCGGACCGGGATTATATTCGGGACTATATATACCGGCATTATATCCCATCCCACTTAACATACTGATTCCTTCGAGCATTTGAGATAGCGAGTCACCGGTCTTTATCATTTGTCGATCAATTTTACTCGGGACGATTATTTTTGTTGGTTGCACATACGTTGATGACTTGTTCACCCCTTACTATCATCTTTGATTCCTCCTTCTTGTTCATTTGTCTTTTCTTTTTGTTATCTTTCAAGCTCCTCATCTCTGAAATAATACTCGTTTGACCGCGAATCCTTGAATAAACTACTACAGTGCCAATACACCAGTTGGGCCAGTGGATTATTCAACATTTGACCTTTCGTTAACGAATAACGGATTTATAGATCAAGTTCGATAAATAGGAAATACGTAGGCTATATGAACGACGGCTTTATAACTAATCGTCGATACATAAAAATCTTGACGTGAAAAACAGATTCCTCGGATATTTCATTTGCGCTTGCTAAAAGAAAGACGATTATGACAGTTCGATGCTCTGTTTACTATTGTTATTTAAAATTACAAGCGCGTTGTTAGATTGGAAAAGTATCCGTGGGAAATATAGTCGGCTGAACGCTTGGGATATGCGACCTGACAAAGCATTTTGTTGCAGAGGAACAAGAACGCAAGCTCAAGAAGGAGCAACAGCTGTTAATAGACCAACAGCGCGACAAAGAATTGGAGCATGAGGCAGAGATAAAGAGGTTGGAAATGCTTCGTCAGCAGAAGATAGAGCAAGAGGAGGAGGTTAAGTACCAGAACCTGAAGAAGGCCTTCAGCGTGGAGAATGAGGGCTACGAGGAGAAGGTGGACATCGACTCCGAGAGCTTTCAGAATCAAATCGTCGAGTACCTGAAGTATCACAAAGTCGTCATACTCGAGGAACTTGGTCAACGCTTCGGGCTCGAGACGATGAGCGTGATCAAGAAGGTACAGGATATGCAAGCCAACGGTACTCTCAGTGGTGTCATCGACGACCGAGGCAAGTTCATCTACGTGTCGGAGAAGGAGCTCGAGTCCGTGGCAGCGTTCGTCAAGCAGCGCGGGAGGATCAGTATCTTCGAGCTCGCCGAGTGCTCCAATGAGCTCATCAGTCTCGGGCCTGGAGCAGCCCACGAACCCATCGAGGTGTAGCGCGGCCTCGCGTCACATTGGCTCGGTCCACTAGACTTTCTACCGTCGTTTCGTAATTGTAAATTACTTCTTGAGAAAAACAAGCCTATGTTTCTTCCGCTTTGAATCCTGTGAAGGATTGCATCGTTAGTTCAATCTAGATATAAGACTCTTGCATATGTGCATCCGTGATGTTTATACGACCTCGTTGATAAATAAGTTGTAAAGATGTTTGATTAGTAGCATCCAATTTTCCGTAAAATTGTGGTGCCATATAATTTTTCTCAAATCCGATAACTTCTCATTTTAATTGTATCTGTGTATTTTGCAGCATATAATATTCCCTTAAAAAAATTTTATGACTATCAAGTGCTTAATTAATCTGTCTGAAACATGCAAGTTGAATAATCACCGTTAAAACTGTTTTAATCGTAAAAATTCAAATTTGAAAATTAAATGTTTAAAAATGATCGTACGACTGTTAATCTACCATTCATTATTCATTCGCTCAAACGTGATAAATTTATGTTTTTCATTCGAAACGCTTGTATTATATAATTCCTCCTCTCCATTACAAACGCTTCGTTAACTAGCAATGGACATAAAATATAGTTTAATTATTTTGGTAAAAAATTTTTTATGCATCAGTCCAAATCTACATATAAAGTCAATTTTTATGATGATAAAATGTCAGGACCAAGACATTCTCACGTTATTAAATCGTATTTTTATGTTTCATTGTTAGCATCGTATAGGTGTTTTAAAAATAATTTCATTCGAAGTAGAGTCAGAGAAAAAAAAAACATGAAACCAGATGATCCATTAGTAATTATAACTTAAAACTTTAACTAAAAAGTAAATGAAATTTACTTTTGATTGTAATATAAATATTAGTATAAGATATTCTAACGCATTAATCGTAAAATTCTTTCAAATTTTTTAAAATTAATTAATTACCTAAGAAGAAATTATTTATAAGAAGTAATGTAATTGCTTCCAATAAAGTCCTAACTAATTTAAAGATAATAGAGATAAGTGGTTCATTCTATTTGATATGTTATATAAAACTATAATGTAGTGCTCATAAGCACACGATTAATTATTACAAAATATTTATTTAAAAATAACTAAATTCTATTAAAATGTAAATAATAACGAAAAAAAAAAAGGAAATTACGATTCATCCATAATAAATTGTTATAACCAATGTGCTATAATAATATGTGCAATCATATTATAGTTTAATAGAATTACATTAGAATAATTTTTGTTTATTTAAGTGCAAGATCAAAACTGAAAAATCTTAATAACTTTATAAATGATAAATCACAATAAAGGCTTTCTTACTACCTTATTCAAAATTTTATTATCTTTCATGATTTTTTACAGATATTTTTTTCTAATTGCATTGATGTAATGATTGTAAAAATATGTGCTTCTAGCGAATAAATTCATTAAATTTGATACTAACGATTGATTAAAATATACAAGACAATTCTTATAATTCATTTATTATACTTTAAATAATAATCAGCGTCGGGCTAAATAAACTTTAATATAATGTATTTTTCTTATTAAGGCATTTTGATAAAATGCGTAGTAGTTGGATAGAAATCGTGTATATTCGAATAATTTAACGAATTAACATACTAAAATGTCAACAAACAAAAAAATCTTGTTAAAAATTTGTTAAATTACATATGTCGGAAGTGGCATTGGTGATTATATTATGTTGATAAAGTTTCTCCGATTTTTCGATATATAATGTCAGCAAAGGCATATTTGTTATCGCTTCTTTTTAATAAATAATTACAATCACATTTTTTTTTTTTTTTTTTTTTTTTTTTGTTGTAATATTCCAATTACATCGTTCTAGATTAATTTATAGTTCAATTTGCTTATATAATTAGAAATAAGTAATATAAAACAAAAGTGAGTTTTTATTAGATATATTATAATTAGTAAACCTTCCTTTTCGATGAAAGAAATTGAAATTACGATTAGTTTAAAACTATTATTGAATATTACTTAAAAAATTATATAACATCTACAAAAACTTAGTACTTAAATTAAAAATTACATTAGAATATGTAATTGGCTGTATTTAAATTTTTAATCAATTATATTAATTATTATGTTAATCATGTTAATCAGCAAATAAATAATAAAATTATATATAAGATAGCAATGTTAACTATTATTAGAAGCCTAAGTCAAAAACAACTGAAATACAATTTTTTTTTTAACGATAAGCGATAGTGTCATATTATTTTATAATATAAAAATTTAACTGCCATATTTATTAATATAATTAACAATATCAAAATTTTACTTTTACTATTTATTACTTATATGCAATTATTTAATATGAATACAATGTGATTGATTGTCAGAATTTACCTTAAATTCAATTAAAATTCAACAAGTATAATAATTTGAACTACTCCTTAATCTCGTATAAACAATTTTGATATTATATTTATTTATTTTTTTTTTTTTTTTCATAAATATTGTTGATATTCCATTCATTTTCATTTCTATCTACGTAATAATTTTGCATTTGAAAAGATTAATAAATTAAATAGGCTTATTGCCAAAAAATATTTTCAAATAAATAATTAACTGCAATAATAAATGTAACAACAAGTGTCTTATTAAAAATTTATTTAGAAACAAATATACTTAAGTAAAATTTTAAATTTCCAAATCTATATAGAAAACGAATTTTTATTCAATTAATCAACTTAATCAATAAATACATAAAATAATCGTCAAACATAGTACGTAAAAATAAATTTAATACGGCCATTAAAAATGATGATATATTATACCATTATACCATACAATATTATTATTTTCCTTTTAAATGAAGTGAATATATTATTATAGTTATTTTTAAAAAATCGCATTCAGCCTTACTTTTGAAATAATTTTTCAACAAATATTATGAATATTATGTATAATATATCATTATCAATGGAATATAATTTTTATTTACAATTAAGAAACGACATAGGACATTTGCATTAATAATATATGATTGAATTAATAATGAAAATTATATAATTAGAAAAACGAATTGAAAATAAGCATAGTATTTAAAAAATTGTAAATATTACTGTAAAATACCATAATTTAAGAAATTATTTCATTAAATGAAAATATATTAAAAACTATTTTATCAATTTTAACTTGGTAACAGCATCCGAACTACGTGCGTAGTAGAAAGTATATTTAAGATAGAAAGTAATTTATATTTTATAGCGAATCGTGAGAAGCAATAAAACCTTTCATTAACAAGATCTTTTGCATTATCATGATAAGCCTAATGACGTGTAATAACGATACTAAATGATACATGTTTTGATGTTGGAAATCCATTATTAACTTTTATTAACTTTTATTCTTGATATTAAAAATTGTAATAATATTGACTATATAGTCGCTGTATTTATTGCATTTATTCAACTGACTTTCCTTAATTTACAAATATAAATTGAAATAATATAAATTTTATAATAACATTTCAATATTAATTTCATTTATTTATGCATTTGGAAATTATTCCATAGCATTGCTCGACAATTTGAAAATCCCATGAATAATTACTATTAACTCGGAATAGTAAATTTTTTTAAATGTACTTTTATCATTTCTCGCATAAGTAAATAAATAATAAATTTAGAATTGTTTAGTTTATGAAAAGACAGTAATAAGAATAATCTTGTATATAATTCGATATTTTTCTCGCAATGTCCTTATTCCTCAACAAATATTGCGCCGCAATGAGCGAGTAATAAATAGTAAATGAATCAAAGTTAATAAAAAAACGAATGAAATTAAATAAAGTTATGAATTAAATTTAATAAAGTTTGGTTCTCATCTTCATTCATCATTCAAATCTTCATTCGTCACTTTCATTCAAAAAAATCACGATGGAATAACAAACGATACATTTATAAAACATTTATTCTGTTTATTTATTCTATAATAATACGTCTACAAAACATTTATTCTACAGTATTATTAACGTAATGGAATGAGAATAAAAATAAACAATCGATCTCGATTCACAAATTTATATCGTAAGTACAATTTCATGGGTTCAAAGATTTTACAACGATATGATCCAGCATCTAGGCGAAATAAATAGCTTTTTCATTTATATTTATTAACTATAGGTCTAATCAATAGAAAACATGTATACTCTAATAAAATATGTAAATTGATATCTACTAGTTCTTGCCAATACAAATTATCTCAGGACTTAACAGTGATCTGATTTGCAAGAAAACTCGTTTACAAATGAATTTATTTTACCTTATCTGATTCTCTTTAAGATAAGATAATATTAATGCAAAATTACAAGACAGTTTACAAATCAGAAAACTTTATTGATTTACTTATTGATTGCTATATTATTTATTGTTCTGTGTGTAATTGTGTGTTTACAAATATGTTTATTCAAAAGATATTAATAATTTTTAATTTCATGTAATACAATCTACAATAAGTAAAAGAAAATTTTCTTAAAAAGAAAATAATTTAAATAATGAATTGTAAATAAAAAATAATAATATTAGGGAAGAATTTGCTATTACGTTCAATTGTTATGCTAAATAGATAATTAAATGCAAAAAAAAAAATAAAAAAAAAAATATAATTTATTAAAAAGTAATTTATGGTTCTAAATTTCAAATAATACAGATATTAAAATATGATAAGACGCGTGAGGAATGAAAAAAATTAAATACCCACTTTTAGACAAAGTTGTATAACGTCCATTTGAATTTTTAATTCTATAACAATAAATTTATTGCGATATATATTTTGTATTTACAATAAATAAGGGGATAACGATTATTTTTCGTTTGGCTTAATTAACGATTAGCTACGAATTTCTTTTTCTCTTAGTTATATTTCCTCGGCATTAAATATTCATCGAAGAATAAAAGTCTTCACAGTATTCATAATAATATGTAAATGCATGTTTATTTTTTGTTTCTATCGTTATTTATTTAAAAAATAACGTTTCCCATATTATTCTTGTAGAGTTCGAAAAATGGAATGTTAAAAAAAAAAAAAAAACAAAAAACAAAAAAAAACGAGAGGATTCATCAAAATATTATTGATTTGTACGAAGATTCCTGATGATAAATTCCTCGATATAAATTAATGTATTGATATTGGAAGATTAAAAGGAGTTGACAATGAATACATAAATGCAGATATGTATGTGAATCAAAGTATAATATAAGCATATTAAAGATATAGTTTGAAAAATTTAAAACGAATGATTAAGAA